GCATAGGAAGGAATTCCAGGGGCTGGCTAGGTATGACCCTGTAAGGGGAGGAGAAGGTTAACCAGGTTGTGACTATGTGACCTCCTCTGGTGTGGGCCAAGGTGTGTGTGGAGGTGGGAGGGAGATAGACTGTGCACCAGGACTTGCAGGCCTTAGCAAGGGAGGGAGAGGTCCTACTCCTACCACTTTTGAGACAAGATTTCCAGGGTTGGACGTGCCTAGACCCCATTCCTACTCCAGACCGGCTCCTCCCAGTTCCTCAGCTCCACAAGTACCAACCTAGATGTGTGGCTTGGTATTACTGAGAAGTTGAAGACTGCAACTCCCAAACTACAAAATCTCTCTTCAATACGTGTCTCAGAGAAGGTTTTCCAAACACCCAGCACAAGACATGTGGTGTTCCTAACTACTCAGATGTCTAAAACTACATACTACCCCACAGACAACACACAAGCTTCAACACTCAAGCTACCGCCATGTGTAGAGACACGGGTGAGGTCCGTCCACAACACTGAGTGGCAAAGAAAAGGCACATACAATGAAACAAAACGATGTATCTCTAATACTTTCGGTGATAAGGGTAGAAAGAAAACCCATAAGCTGCCATCATGATGCTAACACTAACGGTCATCTTTGAGAGATGGAATGGAAAGCTTTAATTGGGAATAGATATGGGAGTACAGAGGTTGCTAGGTAGTATATAATACTCTGTAATATGACCTGTGCAGAAGGGTGCTGAGGAGACCTGAAGTGATGGGATATTAAGTTTCCAGATTGGACATACAACTACCACTTACTCACCAAAATGTTAATATATCTAAATGTGGACCTGCATGTTTAGAGGCTGTTTTATCAATTAAGTATTTATACTTAAGCACGGGCAATTAATTCCACAGCATGCAAAGCAATTTAACATAATTGTCCTTGGCTATAATCTCGATGCCAAGAACCTCCTACTCTGATTTCAGTTTCTTTCTGCTAAATTGTAACTGGAAAAAAAACACACTCTGTTTTGGTGGGGTAATTTATAAAATCTAATAAAAATGAATATTAGTATATTAAATCATCTAACATATTAGTTCAGATTGAAGATAGGAGAGTGATAAGGCAAGCAGGTACTTTACAGTGGTCATCAGGTGGGTGTACAGTTTCATTCCAAAGTTCTTGAACCTTTGATTGTCTTGCTTTTTTCACCATTTTCATTTGTTTATTGTACATTTCGTATATGCTAAGTGTTCTGAATGTGATATAAATACAGAAATAAGTGACCGAGGTCTTTTGGAGCACGCAGTCAAACACTGTGCTCAAAAACTACAAGCCGCGGTTGTTCTATGAACACATGGAGTGTGTCCACAGTGGAGACGCGTGGCAAGCTCCTCTCCACCAGATTTCAAAGCCGAATAAGAAAAAGTTACAAAATTATATATATATGTAAAGTATACAAAATATATATAGTATATATATATGTTATATAAAATATGTATAGCATATATATAATAGTATCTAAAACTATTTCAAATAATAAGCATCTGAAACCCACTCTTAGTACCATTAATATCTATTGGCTATATACTCAGTCTCCCTTCAAGTTTCAGAAATTAGACTATCTGCAATTAGCTGAGCCCTCCTGGTTCCCCTTTCTGTGACAGGTATAAAATGAGCAGAGGTCTGTCTTGACTGAGGCACAGCTATTATTGTAATGGTCTGAAAACTGTCTCCTGTATATCTCACAAGTCCCTGAAAGACTTGCTGAGCCCTTTGTATCACGCACTCTTCTCTCCCAGCATGAACATGTATGATTGCTTAGAATTCAGCACACTAGGAATATTTTCTCACATAGAGAAGAAGGGGCAAGATCTCTTTTAAGGTAATAAAATTCTTTTATGAAGTACCTATTAAGGAATGTAGTGGAAAATCATACTAGAAAATCATTTTTATATTAAATTATTACATGTTGAAAGAGTAAGAGTAACACAAACGAATTTCTAAATCAACATAAAACCTCACATTTCAAAGATGTATAACACACAATAACCATACTGGTATTTGTGAGACTAACTGAAAATGTTCACTGTAAAAATTATGCAAAGAAATGCGAAATCCACAAAGATCAAACCTGCCAAAAAACCAGGAATTTGTATCGTACCAATTAGTTCATAATGTTGCATGTTTTACAAAGTACTCAAGATACAACTCCTTCCTATTCTGAATTATATTGATGGCCTTCCTATATGCTAATTTTATGAAAATGAAATGACTAAACTGTCACAAATGTATCAGGCAATATGAATGCATGCAAATTGGTGTAGTAAACTGAAAGAAATGTGGAAATGAAACCATAAGTAGTGCTGGGTCTGGGATGGGTTTCAGTAGGAGAGCAGTGTGTAGCAGGGTCAGGCCCTCCGGTTTCATCTAAAGCCACATGTACATGTCCTAAGCTTGACGCTTAGGTTATTATGAGGCTTAGGCTGGTCACAAGATTAACGATTCTTAACTCCTCATCTGGAAAATTGGAAAAGGCAAGATTGACCATGCAAAAACTCTGAAAATCAAAAGATTATGTGTGTGTGCATGTGTGTGTTTATATCATGTAACAAAAATTATACTCTTACTATATTAAAAATAAATGTACTATGTTATAAACATCTACCCTTTCATTGATATTTTCAGAAGTCATTACAGAAAAAATAATAAAACATTTAAACATATTAAATGTCATTTTTGTCAGCCATCTTAGTTTATTGTAATAATTAAAATCATACTAATGATTAAATATATTAAAATGAGCTTCGTAGAGCTATCAATCCACCTGTGGTTATACAGTAGATCCCTGTATAAAGTTAAACCTATCAAGAATGGTTGTTTTTTATCTATTTTATGAGTAAAGAATCCCTGGTTTCCTCCCTTCTGTTTGTTTTCTTTATACCCTACAGAGAGATTGGGACCAAAAGAAAAAGAAAAGAAAAAGTGACTTCTCCTCTCTATACTGACCATTCCAGAAAGGCACGCAGGAGGGATGGGTGAGGGATGCCTTTGGGCACATAGGGATAGATGGGGGGTAACGTTACATGCTCTGGAAGAAAACAAAATGGATATTTTCTGCAATTAATCAAATAATATTAGATTTACCTGAAGGAAACATTCAAATTTATGTTGCTACAAGTTTTTAAAAGATGAAAAAGCAAAATCTTAAAAAAATAAAACAAGCTGGTAATCATGGCCGTAGAGAATAGAGCATTAATAGAAGAATGGTTTTCTCTGAACATTTTTTTATAAAGCTGTATGTATGTATTATAAATTTGATTTTATCTAAATGTAATATAAACATATAATGAGAAGAGTTTTGACTATCTGAAATTATCTTGGCTGTGAACACAATTCATTCATACAGTATTCTTTGAGATTCCATGAGCCTAATACTTTATTGGCTGTCCTTAGAAAAGTGTCATTCATCTTATTGGGAGAAGATTCCACTATACTGATAAGACAAACACGCCATATATATTCATATTTAGAAAACAGCCACAGATATGCCCCTACAGCCATACATTGGTGGACTGAGGGAGAAATAATAAAGAGGGAAGATGGAGAGGTTGTGGGTTAGGCTCTCTAGCATCAGTTTTTAAGTCGAAATGCTGAGCAAACAGGAAGAGGTGTGAACGATGAAATCACGAGAGCCCTTTGGAATCTGGCTTTTTTGTGTTTGTGATTTGTGTGTGTTGTATGTGTAACAAAAATTAGTTCTCAGTAGTTGTCCTCAAAATCGCTTTTGTCTCTTGACACAGTTTTGTTTTGTTTTGTTTTCACTTATTTATTTATGTAATCATTTTACAGCCTGATCCCAGGCCTGACGTGGAAGTTTCTGGTCTTTAGAAACTCAGTTGTGCCACGTGCATATTTTTTTTGTTTTGGTCTCAAGTGTGGGATGTGGGGATGTTTTTTCCCCTTCGAAAAACAGCCTCAGTGAAAAATAGCCCCAGGAAAAGGGGCATGATGTTGGTCAGCAGAAAGCTACCTCATTTGAGGGCCATGGTTTTCAGGGGCTGTAAAACATCCCTGTAGACGCCGAGAAGGGTTCAGTAGAGGCCTACAGATAGTGAGACAATGCTTTCTGCATCGCTACGCTTCTGCCTTGCTACAGTTCGCATCCTTTGCTGGTCTTCTCGGAAAGAAACGCTCCAGAGAACTGCTCATGCTGCCATGGCAGAGTTTCACTGCTTCAGCAGGTTCACGCCATAGGGGCAGAATCTAGCTGCTTCTACTCAAGTGTTCCACTTCTGCTGATGCCTGTTGCTGCTGCTGCTTTCTGCCAGCTGAGTTTGCTAATTCCCAAGGAACCAATAGACTCTTATCAGAAGAAAGAAGACAAAAGAGGTCTACAGCCCCTTTCCCTACTAATCGCCTACCTAAGTTGGGGGGAGGGGCGGAAGGGAGGTAGAGCAGTTAAGACGCCTCTCTAACATCTTGAGCTGCCTGCAGGGTATTTAAATGTTCCAGATTTCCAACTTCTGTGAGCTGTAACACCGGCTAGGATGTACCTTGGTGATTCGACTGTCTTTGAGTCATTTCTGTTCCAATAAGTAATCCCTCACCTAGATTTCTATAAGTAACCTCAATAAAACTTCTTGCTTCACAAAAAATGAAAAATAAAAAGAAAGAAAAGAACGTAAGTAAAATAGGTGTTTAAAAAAAACCCTAAGCCTACAGAAACCCCTCCCCCATTTCATCCCAGTTCCACCCTCATGTATCTCTTCCCCCCTCCTCCCCTCTTCTTCTCAGAGAAGGGGAGGCCCCCAAGGGGTACCAACCCACCTTGGCACCTCAAGTCTAAGCAGGACTAAGTGCATCCTCTCCCACTGAGGACAATGGGAGTAGGAGTTGTCTCTGACTCAACATTTTTTAAAATGAAATAATAAACAAGTGACTTTGCTCAATACTAACTCATTGATTTTCATAATAAAAATCACTACTGCTCCCTGCATTCGCCTAGTAAAACTCACCTGGTTCTTTCAGAAGTCCCATAGAAGAGGTCACATGCTGGAAAGGCAATCTGGTGTGGGAATGGATGGGTTCCAAAGTTCTGTTTCCAAAACACAGAGTTACAGCTTGAGTCATTCAGTGCCCCCTTTTGGTAATGCAAGCCCCCCCCCCATGTCTAATATTGCAGGACCAGATGCTTCTGACCACACAGCTGGACCTGTGGCATCTTCAGAGTCCTGTAGAGTGAATATTATCAAAAGAATAATCCTAAGCTTTCAGGTTCTGAGTGGGGGTAAAAAATAGGAACAGCTCCTTTCTGAGCAAGCCCTGCCTAGCAAAAATCAGGAAAATAAGCGTTGTGCTTATTTTTTTTTATGGTTTCAGATGGGATTTTTAAATCATGCTTTCTTAATATCACTTGTGAAGATTTAAACACATCTTTTAGATCTAGACTCAAAAACCAGGTAGACAGTTTAGAAGATGTAAATAATCAAAAGAAAAGAAATATATCCTCTAATACCATCGCTCTGATATTTTGCTAATTATTACAAACCAGTGTTTCTCATAGTCTAGGTGTTATTTAAGTCTGATCTAATTCTCTAACTAAGCATCTGCTACTGTATGTACTATTAATTTACTAATTTTATACATGAAGAAACTAAATGCATATGAGTTATATAGGTCAGATTATTCCAAGTAGAAATAGATGGAGCAGTGAAGCTTCAGTAATTACATTACACTATTTTATTCTAACTTCATTTGACATGATTATCTCTATAGCATATTTCATACCTTTTCAATATTTATATGTATGTAAATACAAATTAACTTTCTAAGTAGTTTTATACTTGATATTATATTATGGACATCATCATTAACACACATAGATGCATTTTATTATTATTTAATATTGTACTGCATGGATTGAATATTCTAATGGTTTATCAGTCTTTTCATGAATATTTGGGTGCTCACACTATTTGGCTATTTTTAAAAAGGCTCAAAAACCTTTGGGCATTCTCCTTTGTACACCTGCTTATCTTTTTTATATAAATTTTTTATGAAATTGCTGCCTAAATGACACAGAGGTTGTAGTATTGAAAGTTTTCCTGAGGAAAAAAAACTTAGCATGTATAGGAAAAGAGACTGTAACCATCCTGGTCAGAGCTGGATATCAGATACAAAGTAGGCACTAAATAAAGAGTAGATAAGGTACAAGGCCAACTCATCTCATCTTCCTGTCATGCATATGACATATCAACAGATGTGGTCAAGGACTGCAGTAATTCCATTTGAAAAATCTAGAAATGCATTTATATCCTACCAAAATTAAAGGAAAATGCATTTATTGAATGGTTTGCTTTACTTTCTAGTATGTAAACCATGACTAAAAATTATTTAATCTTCAAATTAGGACAAATTATATATTTTGCAACAATCTCCTCCTAATGAAAAATCATAACAAAAATCGACAATTGAGCCCTTTTAGAAAAACATTTGAAAACCGTTAAGTAAAAATTCAGAGCTGTTTCAACACAGTGGAATGCATGCCAATAATCTGATTTCTGATGTGATATGTGGTGATCTGTTTTTGATGTGAGATAAAGAAAAAAAGCACAGGATAATGGCATGGCACCTCATCATTGTTCTGTTATTGAACTGGTCAGAAGACCTAAGCATAGATTGTCAAAGACAACATGGGAAGTTCATTGATGTCAAAGCTAAGGGACAAAGTCCAAGCTCACTTGCCTAAATTACAAGAGTGTGTTGGCAGAATGCACTGAGTATCACTGAAGACAACAAAAATCAGCACTAATAAGTGAATTTTTTCATGATTGGAAAGTAACATTTAGAAAATATCCACATCCACCATTACTGTTCTAAGACCAGGATTTTTATTCATGATAATCTTTAATTTAAAATTTCGAAGATGGAGTAAAGAAATTCACATTCATACACTTAAGTGTGAAAATTTGGAAGCATTCCATTTTGTTTGCTCTTTGCATGTCAAAAATAGAAAAATATTGACAAATTAAAATATCATAAATTTATGAAATTCTTTCACATTTCTTATTTTTTGCCCATTTGTTTCTTTTCTTCAGTCAATATTTTTATAACATACCTAAAAATGTTGTGTGTCATCTTCTTATGATCCTCTAAGTGACCTAGAATAAAACCCTCCCAGACTCTAGTCTGAAAGCCTGTTAGCAAAAACAACCTGATGCCTTTAAAAATAATAATAATCTCTTGAAACACACGTTTTCCAAAAACCTGAATCACCATATCCCAAAACCCTTATTTGTGTGTCCCTCTGCACCCCCACCACAGGCCAGTGCTAACAGCACGAAGCGAACTGCTAAGGGAGGAGCAAGGTCCCGCCATAAACTAGCTATAAATAAAGGCAAGGCTGCCCGAGCCGATTGAAGTCCAGGTTCTACGTGCCCTAGGCTGTCATTGATGCACCTGCTCTTAATGTCAAAGAGTGTTGCGCTTCCTCATTAAACAGGACATGTTTTCACTTAGAGTGGAGACTAGGGTATTAGGAGACCTTTATCTTCCACTAGTAGCAGAAGAAAAAAATTCCCTGAGGAACACTTAACCCTACTGAAAAAGACAACAGAGTGAAAGACATTATTCCTGCACAGATTTGTCATTAACGAGTGCCCGATGTGCCTGAATCACTGTTAACGTTCCTTGGATTACAGGCTTCATAAAATAAACTAAGGGTAAGTTTTAAGTGAATTCAGTTAACCCTTTCTGGTTGTTAAATGCTCGTTGAATAGACTGACTGCGTGAGTAAGTTACTTTCAACTGTCAGGATTTACTTAAGCTGACCTGAGTCTTGAGTTCAATTTGGTAAAGATAGATTCTTAAAAAAAAATAATCTTTCAATATAATTTTTCCTTATGATTTATATTTTCCCCTATGATAAATAAAAACAAACTTCTCTCCCTGAAGTGGGTACACTTTCTACTTGTTTAAATCTGAGGCTTGTAGTGAGTTTAGCCAAGGAACATAGCTACACTAGCGAGGCTCTCTGGGTGGTGAGCGCATGTGTGACACAGCTTCGGAAGGCAAGATCATCTTTACGGAAAGATAGGATTTCTTCCAATTTCTACTCTTCATACAGTGTGTCAGTTACTGAAATTTTCTTAACATGTTGTATCATTGAATTTCTGTAAGATAAGCCATCAGAAAGGTGTATCTACGTTGTACAATTTCTCAAACATACGTACTTAAGGGCTGTCAGTGGTTTTATCTGAAGTCTTAGGGCCAGCCCTCTCACACACCATTGTAAAGGTATCTGGAAGGTGGAGTGATTCTGTGGAATAATCCAGAAGACTATCTGACCAATCTCCAGACACTTCGGAGTCAGAAATAAAATTGCAAATCCTTGCATTCTTACCATGTTCTGTAGACTCATTTTCACCTTCTGTTAGGGAGAGACTAACCTTTAATTATTAGATTTGAAAGAGAAAATCATAACTTATTCTGCTCCATAATTGCTGCAAAGGAGTTATTAAAATTCCAAACTTATGTAATATTATCATAAAATATGGCATTTTTTTCTCAAGAAAGACACAAATTGGATTTGAGCTTCTGCACTGTAAAACCCAGATGGTTTGCTTAGCTACTCAAACGTCCTCCAGTTCAAAAGTTAATTGAACTGAAAACTAAAATTTTGATAATTGATAGGCTTTGGGACTAGAGCAGAAAGATAAATTAGCCTCATGCACAGGGTGATAATGGGATTGGAAAACCACGACCATTGGTCAAAGAATGTTGGCAAAGAAAAAGAAAATCTCTCTCTCTGTCCTCTCTCTCTGTGTGTATGTGTGCATAAGTGTGTATGTATCTGTGTGTGTAGTGTTTATGCTGTGTATGTGTATGTATATCTGTGTGTGTTGTGTGTGTGTGAGTGTGGATGTGTGTGAGCATGTGTGTATATGTGTGTTTTGTATGTGTGTGTGTGTGTGTGTGTGTGTGAGTGTGTTTTCTAGGTTAAACATACCTGAACTTCCTCATTTGCAGCTGCTTTTCTTTCTCCATTTTCTTACTCACAGATTCAATATCGGTCATTATTTTACCCAGATTGACTTTTTCTAAAATTAACAAAAAAGCTTTGATTGTACAATACTATAGCTTCCAAGTTGTAAATGCATTTTCAAATGAATTACAGATTTTTGAAATAAGAGACACAATAGTTTTTTTTTTTGTTTGTTTGTTTGTTTGTTTTTGGTTTTTGGAGACGGGGTTTCTCTGTGTAGCCGTAGCTGTCCTGAACTCATTTTGTAGACCAGGCTGGCCTCTAAACCCATAGAGATATGCAGGCCTCCCAGAGTGCTGGGATTACAAACTTGTGCCACAGTTCCAGGCATAATCTGATCTTTTGTGATGACTAAAATTTAGGGCTAAAAAGTAAACCATAAATTAATAGCATGTATTCTAAAAAAAAAGAGAGAGAACTCAGAAAAAGTCCTGTAACAATAGAGCACATGCCTCTAAATATGAAGAACTTCTTTATTAACCTCATGAAGCTTAGTTTATATAGGAGGCTCTGCTCTTTTAATATAGTTAGCAGATCGTTAGTTAATGAAAATAAAAACCTCTTCACTTAATAGAGTTAAACTATAGACAAAAGTACCATGCCAGGTATCCGGCAAGCACTTTTCATTTCCCAGCTTGGATACACTAAAAGATACAGAGGCATATGGCACATATATCATATAGCCTGTTCTGAAAAAAACGTTACAAGCTAGTTGGGCTCTTAATGTCAACATAGAATGGAACACACTGTAATAAGTTATGTAGTTTAGTATGCCGCAGAATATTAAGTGGGAGGAAAAACTGAAAACAAAATGCTAATATTATTCTGTATAACGTTCCAGGGGTACTGAGCGTCTAGAAGTCACCTGTGAATGACCTTGTGTGAGCTTTGGAATGGTGTTTTGCAGAGTAGTGTGTATACCTGAGGGGAAGCAGCAGTCTCCAGAACGCTGGGAAATCCCATGGAAGTTCTCTGCAGTCTTTTACCAAATCATGTAAGGCTGTCTCCAAACTGCAGAATACAGGCAGTTTTACCCCTATGTTCCAATAGAATTAAAGAAGAGGCCAGCTGGCAATTAAAGCATCACAGATTGCCAGTGTATCTGATTAGCTCTGCCTAAGATGGGCAATGGGCTTCCTGGCTGTTCAGAAAGCCATGATACCTCTGAGCTAGTGACTGTCTCTATACGTAAAATTTTGCCTTTACAACAATGTTATAAAACTTTAAGATTTCAGTTTTATAACATGAATTATAGATCATTTGATTGAAATAATTAGAAGAAAGGATATGGAGATGTTAGAAATGAAAATGGAGGAGTAGTGAGGACCATTTGGGAATTTACACTAAAATCTGGTAGAAGGCACACAGGGCATGAGAACTGCCGATGGTATTTGCCCTGCCCTGCACTCAGGCCTACAGAAATTGCACGGACAGACACACCTGACATCAGTGTCCTAGCCGGTCACTGTGCTTCCTTCTGACTCCTTTTCACCTGTCTCCTTCGGGACCTCACTTTCTCTGAGTGCCTCCAGCCACGGGTCATGCTCCCCAACATGCTCTTTCTCTCCTTGACAACTTTTTAACTTCTACTTCAGTGATTTGGTCCAGCTACTGTGGCTACATTTATCGCTAAATGTATTTGGCTCATCGGGTTATGTATGTTGCACACACAATTGGTGCGTAATCTCCGTTTCAATCAGCATGGCCCTCTCAGAATTAACACTCGTACTAACCACCTGGGAAAGCAGCACAAATCTTCCCCCTGTCAATCTTTTCTTTGTGCAATCATTCATTAAATACCATTCATGCTTTCCACTTAGAATTGCCTCCTACATGCCTTTGTTGTGTACGATCTAGAACCTTCAGAACGCCCTCAGTTGGGTTCCCACCTATCCTGCCCTACCTATCTCCATAATCTAGCTCCAATATCTTCCACAAATATTTCATTTCTAAATTCTGGAATCCTGAATTATCATTATGCTGTTTCCTAATATAATTTCACAATTAGAGAACAGATTGTGTATAATCCTAGATCACTGAAATTTGTCCATGTCTAGTTTATAGATTTCTAGCTTATAGACTATCTAGTGTGTAGTAAATATTCACCAGATTCTATATTTTCCTAAAAATAATATATAATTAAAAATCATTAAGAATATTATTTTATAGTTATCTAATAAAGTAACCTTATTTAGTTTTTAAGCAAATAATATAACCATGCTGACATTTATGTGTTTATATTTATGCATAATTCATATTAAGAATCAATAAAAAGTAGTTTACAATTTAACATTTTAACCACAGCTTCTTCATTGTCTAGTTCCTAAAAACAAGTACATACTATACTCACTCAAAAATATTTATTAATAGTAAGAGCTGGAGAGGACAGAAACTCCACAAGGAGAGCAACAGAACAAGAAAATTTGAACACAAGGAACTTCCCAGAGACTCATACTCCAACCAAGGACTATTCATGGAGATAACCTAGAACCCCTGCACAGATGTAGCCCATGGCAGGTCAGTGTCCAAGTGGGTTACATAGTAATGGGAAGAGGGACTGCCTCTGACATAATCTGATTGGCCTGCTCTTTGATCATCTCCCCCTGAGGGGGGAGCAGCCTTACCAGGTCACAGAAGAGGACAATGCAGCCACTTTTGATGAGAACTGATAGACTAAGATCAGAAAGGAGAGGAGAACAGTAAAGGGATGAGTGAGTCCCAAAAGACCACTTTTTGCTTGATCAAATGGTTCCAGTTTGCAGCCAATCATGCTTAGATCCATGGAGATCTCTTGGCAGGAAAACAGGCATGCATGCAGAAAGGGGAGGGAGGGTGGGACTGGGAGGGGAGGAGGGAGGGGCTTATGGGGGGATACAAAATGAATAAAGTGTAATTAATAAAAAATAAAAAAAGTTAAAAAAATATTTATTAAAATATTTTATTCATTTTTTTCGAGATAGTGTCTCTCTATGTAGCCATGGTTGAGTAGGACTCACTCTGTAGACCGGGCTGGTCTCAAACTCACAGATATGTGCTTTCCTCCACCTCCCAAGTTCTGAGATTAATGCATGCTCAACCACACTCAGAAACAAGTATTTCTTGAGTGGGTTTTGTCTGCAGAGTTATCTAATTATTATCTATGTTCAAATATTCTAATCATCCCAAAAATATTTTTTCTAGATGCTTTTTTCCTGTCCACACCTAATTAAGCATTACATACGCCTCTTAGATCACCTTTAACCTGGAGCTACTCTTTCCATCATGGTACTCAAGGGCACGTCACTACAGCATGCTTCTTATGCTGCTCTGTATCAAGATGCGCTGTAAGAACTGACTGCATGCTAGGTTTCTCAGATTCATTATGAAGACAACCTAAGTGATAGTTTTAAATCAGCCACATGTTTAAATGATGTTGTCATTTTATATTAAATAAAGTGTAACATTTAAGTTAATTTTACAGCTTTTAAACGTGGCCACAGAAACCTTGAATTATATTTGCAGCTTACACGGGCGTTCATGTCAACTAGTTTGTCTTTGGATAGAATATGATCTTTTCTTATTTTGTGTGTAGAGATGCATAGATATGTGCAGGTGCCCTTGTCCACGAGAGCAGATGTGAGGCCCACAGAAGCCTTTCCTCTACATATTCTCCTTATTATCTATCTATTTATCTATCATCTGTCTGTCTGTCTGTCTGTCTGTCTGAGACAAAAATCTCTCTATTTATGACTGCCAATTACATGGATTAACTGGACTTATTTTTCCCAGTATTCCAGATACCACATATTTCAACCTCCTTCAAAGGGGAAAGGACTCATTTCTCCCCTGACATTTATAAGGAACATTTATTCCTCTCCACACACTCCTCCAGAAAGAGCTCCCATTCATACTGTACAAACAGTGTAAACTGGGTCGATGTGTTTCTACGAGTTAGTTTTTTAAAATCAGCTTGAACAATTTAGGAATAGGATGTCATAAAGGAGCCTGCGCTCTCTCTCACAGGCATCACCTTTCAGGATGTCATCAGAGAGGAGACATTATGAGGGAGCTACAGAAACTTTGAGTTCTCTTCTCACACAGTCAAATCAGATCTTTTTCATGCAAAAATTGAGACCTTACTTATAGACTATAAAATAGTCTTTCATGTTTCTCTCTTTTCAAGAACCACTACTTAAATTGTATTCCATTTCCTATGAAGTAATTATAATAACACTTAGAACTTAAAAATGTTACAAATTTTATAGACAGATTCATTAGTCAAGAGTGACAGATTGTGATTTACTGACATTTCACATGGTAGTGTGTGGGCTGGGAAGATGTCATGTGATTTTCCACTGTTGGAATTTCCAGCACATGTGGTTTGTAGAGAATGCCAAGTCTCCACTAGATTGTGAGCTCGCTGGTGGCTTTCTGAGGACAGAGATTGTTTTTTTTTTTATATCTACAGCTATTCAGTCAGTACTCAGACTAGAGGCCGAGGGACTACAGGGTGGCAGGCAGGCTGGCAGGTCCTAGGAATACAGGAACTAATTTGGGGTTTATAACTCCTTTGTTCCAGCCAATGAAAGTAATCATCTATAACTGGGTGATTCTAACTGAAGTGCTGAGAAACTATTTTCATTGTCTCATGAACACAAGACAGAAAGTGAAATGTGTCCTTTAGCTTTGTAATTGAGGTCACAAATATCCCTTAGTGAGTGTTACAAGATATTTGATCTCACTGCGAACCCCAAAATTGTGAACGTTAAAAAACACTGTTTCTTGTTTGGTGTGGTTGAGCCCTATCACATACTTTTAATCCTAGAAACTTTGTTTATTTTAAACAGGTGATTATGGTGTGGTTCCCCCAATCCTAACATACATTTTTAATCTCAGAGTTTTCTGTACACAGTGTTTAATAAAGTTAACCCTAGGACAGGGGGCAGAGCAAGAAACCAGCTGACAGAGATTAAAGAGTAGGAGGTACTTTGAGATGAGGGATATTTAAGACAGCATGGAGAAGAAAAAAGGGGCTTTTGTGCATTAGCTCTTTGGCTTAGGTTTAAGCTTTAGTTC